GCTTCGGCATGTGGTGCACACCATCCTGTGAAAAGGACACAGAGCCATCTTACTCTTTTGGTGAAGAATAAATAAACAGAAACTGCTGACACCACTGAGCCTATTACAGAGAAATAATCCCAATTTCCTCAACAGTAGAACAATTTCAAGCACAGTAATCCATTTAGTGCTACCTTCTTTGTATCTCATTATTATGTGCACAAACATTCTGTTTAAATTCCTCACGACAATCACTGTTTCATATATTTCAACTGAAAAAAAACTAATAGAATTTCTCACTTAATCTCCTGTATACATGCATGTCCCTTTTGATCACACATTGAAGAGGGCACTAAGACTCAGGACATCTGGCACAAAACCATGCACTGTTTGAAATTAATCTTGCATAATTCAATGCAGCTGTGTGTAACATGACTACAGTCTCTCAAATGCACTTGCACCTTCACAGAGCAGCAAAGCCCTGTTGCAAGAGAATATCCCTTTTCCTGTCTTAATGAGGATTTGCCATCATTGAACGAAGTGTCCTGGAAGAGCTGTGTTAGGAATCGTTTTGTCAAAATTAATAAATACATGAAATGTCATTTTCATAACGTTTCCAGAAACAATTAAGGAAAGCAGTGCATTGACATGAATTCAACATTAAAAAAAAAATAATGTGCATTCCTGCAATTCAATTTTAGATCTAAACTATCACAGAAAGTCATACAAAATTTCTCCAAAGTAAAATTAAAGATACAATCGTGCTTTCAGGCATGGTGAGACTTTAAAAATATAGGATTTATTTTTACTGATAAAAGAACGAGCAGTGCAAAAATAAGTGCCCTCTTTCTAGAATGTATCAGACAGTTATAACAGAAATCCCATTAATAAAATTCCCTTGTGTATGACTCATTTTTGCTTGTCACCTTTAAAAAGAATTCAGATTTTATGTACCTTTAATTATCATCTTCCGAGAAAAAGCCATTTGTCAACAACAGCAAAACAAATTAATATTTCACATTAACACATAAAATGGAATATTTCATACAGAAATTGCTAGGTATCTAGCATAAAACCTGAAAAGCAAAGACATGAAAACATAGGGCAACCAGCAATACCTATCCTATCTGTTTCTGCAAAATATAATAAGGTGTAAAAATCAGTTAAAAATCAATCTAATTTGGTAATACAAAAACCCCACATTTTTTTGTAGCAATTATGTGACAAAATGACAAATGTGAAGTTTTGTAGGTACTTAACACATTTACCTTCCTCATTGTGTTATGATTTCTTCAGATTTTTAAGGCTATTTTTAAGCCTAGAATAATAATGCTGAGTTAAGAATAAGTTATAACATCCCTAAAATGTGTTGCAAATTATAGATATGCACTTTCAACAGCACCACATTTTAACACGGCTTTTATGTGGTAGAAGAAAAAAGCGGAAACATTTTATTTTACACAAAAGATAGGCTAGAAAACAATATCATATGTGATACTAATAAATGAACTGTAACTGCTTCAATTCCCTCCTATTAGTTCTTACTCCACTACAACCATTGCAATGTCTGAGACCTTTTCAGGGATATTTCCCACTTATGCAGATAATCTAATTATTTCTAGTCTTAGTTTAAAAGAAATCATGTAAGTACTTTCTCATTTAAATGTAATATTAATTACAAAAAAATTCAAAATATATGACATTTTAGTTTATAAATTAGTACATACATGCATAAATTGTGTTCATCTGTTTTACACCAAAACAACTTGTATCTACAGCATTCACATAGAAAAACAAAAACTACTCTTAAAAGAACAAAAAAATGTGTTAAGTAATGCACATACTCTCTAAGTATCTCATAAAGAGATGATATTCAATATGGAGTGAATACAACCTACTTCACTTCAGGAATATAACTTTGTTCTCCATAGTAACATTACCAAAGAACTTGAACACTAAGAGATAAAAAAAATTCCTAAGTTTAAATGTACCAAGAAACTGTATTTAAGTATTTGAAATATATTTTATGCTATTAAATACATTATTATTCTACTTTACTAAATTTTAACTCATTTAATAGTTAAGTTTACAAGCAAAGTTTTGTACCTTAAGTAATCCTACTGTCAGTACAATACTGATTACCAAGAGTATCCCAAGCATGACACAAGTTCCTTTCAGTTATGATTACGAAGAGAAACAAAATAATATATATGTTCTAATAAATGTTACATTTTGTTTTGATATCAGATTTTAGCTAAGATCTCATAATTCTGTAGAGTTCCATATTTAATAACCTTTTTGCTATCAGTTTTCAACCACTTTTTCTTCTTATAATCATTAACTACAAAAATTTCTCCTTTCATTCTTCCAAATGCTTTTATAATTCTCTTACCTTCTCAGAAAGAGATGTTGCTAGAGTAACTTACAGTTAACATTTACCTTGCTGAAAAGTGCAGATTGAACAAAACATGTAATAGTGACTGGGAAGGCATTGTTAAAATTAACACATTCGGTACAGCAAACAAAACCAGAAAGCAAAACAACCTACAAGAATTATAAATAAGTGAAATGGATCACATCAGTCATTAGCATAGACAACTGATGTCCTTTGTGATCAAAATGAGAAAAGAAGCATACAAAATTGTCCTAGTTAGGACAGCTGAGATCAGTTCATCATGGTGGGTGTAACCCAAAACTGTATTCTATAGCCTTCCATGGTAGACTAGCACTATTCGCACAAAACCTAGGTGAAGAGGCTGTGAGATAGAAGGAACACCCAACCTGAGGAGAGTACCAAGCAAGAATTGGAGGATAATATAAAGTTTTGGAAATGCTGCATCTCATCGCTCTCAACCATAGACCACCACTGGAGTGGCCACTTAGGCTTTGGACTAGGACAACTGGGATTTGGGTTTTTGTGGGTTCCTTTGTGTTATGACTTATAAAATGGAGACAAAGAAGCATACAAAATAAAGGGTGAAAAGCAAAAATCTATCCTTTAAGGAGCTACAAAAAGTAGTAATACAGAGCAGCATATGAAAAGTAATAATACAGAGCAGCATTTCTCAACCATTTGGCTGCATTCCCAGGGAACTCATGAGGTATGGGAATTGTCATTACAGTCTAAAAAAGAAACCCTTTCCTCATAGGCTACCCTGTAACAGCAAGAGCTGGCACATGGCATTGGAAATTTTTGTTACCTTAGATCACCTGGTAGGGAAGTGACAGTGTGATACCTACTGGGGTATGAGAATTAAGCAGCCCACAATCCAGATGCAGATCAGTGATCTGGCCCACCAGACTAATGGCAGATTTCACACAAGTCAGACTGATAGCAAACCAAACCTTCCTCTTTGTATTGCCCTCTGAGCAACCTAATCTAGCTGAAGATGTCCCTGCTCATTGCAGGGGGTGTTGGACTAGATGGTCTTTAAAGGCCCCTTCCAATACAAGCCATTCTATGACTCTATATTTCTGCTACACCTCTCAAAGGGCAAATATTTCAGAAGAAATGCTGCATGACAGAATAGTGGTAAGAAACAAACATATCAGTAGTAACATAGGTCTACCATCCCACAGTTGGGATGGCACCTTTCAAAATCATGAAGCACAGAAACACAGAACAGTTGAAGCTGTAAGGGACCTCTGGATGTCATCTTGTCCAACCCTCCTGCTCAAGCAGGATCACCTAATGCCTGTCTGATGAACTGAAGCACCATTGTCCAAGAAAATGACATAAACTTTCACGCAGCAGCTCTCGCCCTTTCTGACACTGTACCAGCAGCATTCCCTGTACACCTGTAACGTCCCTTTTGCCCTCAATCTCTTTCTCCCAGCAGTTACCCGCCATCCTGCCAGGTGTGCAGTGGCAAGTCCCTTGTTGATATTATCAATGCCATCTTTCTAAAAGGTCAAAGGAAACCCAGTGCCCCAGTTTTCTCGGTGTCTGAGTCAAAATGTCATGGGATGAATTTAGACATACTGGAAAGCAAATCCACTTCAAGTGAATGGCTACACGCACTATTCATCTGTAGAACTTTTCAAGCCCAGAAAGGACAGTAATTGGGAGTTCTTGGTGCTTGTCCTTGTCTATGCATAGTATAAGACATGCATACCCCTTCAGAATGCCATTTGTGCTTGGTTTTGGTCTGCAAATTTATCTGAGTGGAAAATCAGGTTTTGGTGAGTTTTTTAATTTGCATTTTGGACATCCAGTAGCCTATATGTGAAAGTGTTGAACAAATAGCAACTGATCATTTTGGATCCTCAGGAAACATTTTCCTGTACTGTACTACAAAATGCCACAACACAAGCATGATTCACTTGCTGATCCATGGTGCAAAAGAAAAAGCTCAAGAAGAGTGTATTCTCAATCAACAATCAGGAAATAAGGATGGTTGCAGATCCATGACATTTTTAATAAGGTATCAAAACATAATGCAAATTAATTTGTAAGTACATGTATGTGCATTGTTAATGTGTGTAACTAGCTGTGTCTTTTGTATTTGACAGCATTTTTCATCACTGTGCAATTGATTTCTCATTAACTTTGATGGATTGCGAAGATCTGTATGTTTGCTGACAACAATAACATGACAATCTGGGAATACTAAATATCACAGCAGAAAAACACCAGACATCTGCCAAACTCCTAGGACATATAATTACAATGCAATTGAATGATAATTCTAAACTGCCACAGTTTTACGACCAAACAATTTGAGATTATTTTTAGAAGTAATTTCTGGATAGAAACCCTTTTCAACAAAATAATTAAACATACACAAATGATCCTTTTACTATCCTACTGACCAGTGGAACAAGTTATATTCAAAGTTAAGAGATTCCTACACAATCAGCTGACCAAAGATATACTCAGCAAAGACAGCCTTCTCCAAATTTCCTGCTTTTTCAAAATATATTTCTTAGATAATTTCAGTAAAGTCTGTGGGGTAATTGAGTGAGTAGAAGTTTTCTGAATAAAGTCTTGAACCTCATTCAAAAAGAAAGTAGATTCTTACTGTAGTTCTGTGGAACAAGTTCTGGGTTCTTCGGTGTTTTGAGTTTAAAAGACACATCTCCAATAGTGACAGTATCACCTAAAAAAAAAAGAAAAGAAGTCTTTTAGTTCTCAGATACTTCAGATACTTTCTAAGAGCCTAAGGTCCTTAAAATTAAAAACATAGGCCTGCTGTGGTAAGGCTGACTGTGTGTTCACAAAGCAACCTCTAATGTGTTTGTGTTTATTAATTAGGCTCTGCTGCTTTTCCACAGATCAAGTATCTGGACAATTTGCATTTAATTTATATTCCTTGACTGTTTTGGTTTTTTTGTTATAACCATACATTACTTTGTTGGGACCTATGGAATTCAAGCTCAGTGTACAACCCCATTCCAGCTACCATTGTTGATTTACTGAAATGAAATCTTCAGCACATTTGCCTGCAGAACTAGCAGTGAGAAACACTTGTAGGGTGATGATCTTCCTGAGCTTTCAAGCAGCCTGAAACAGTATCCGTTGGAGGTACAAAATGACAGATTCATGCCAGTGGGCTCTTCCTGCATTCCCTGAGGACATGGCTGCAGAACCTGGCACCTTTCCAAGGTTTGAGAGGTCTCAAGCATTTCTTGCTCTGGATTTCGCCAAACCTAAAGTATCTGGACAGTTTATTTACTGGTCTCTTACTATGATCTGCTTGTCTTATCTATCTTTCTGCAGCCATAGGCTTGAATTAAATTTCTTCTTTCTTTCTCATGAAAATCAAAAGTGAAAACTAGTTTGCAGTCAGGATGGGTAAGCACCAAGGCAGCAGCAGTCACACAAAAAAACAGCACAACACCCAAATCCCAAGAAAATGAGCTGTAGACTGGTAACAAACCTGAAGATTATTTTTTTCAAGAGACAATCTAGGCTACATAAATGAGTTCAGAAGCACCATGAAACTAAAATTACTCTAGTTAAATGACGTTTTTTTCCATGACTGGTGCTGAAGATAACACCAGCTCCAGCGCTCAATAGACACTGTAGTGCGTGCATGAGGATGAAGAGGATTACTGGAGTAAGACTGCTGCACAGGGGTGTAGTTTTGCCACAGCACTCTGATTACATTACCTTTCCATGAACTGAGGCCAAGTTTTGGAACTGTCTTTTGTGTTTGCGCTTTTCTCAAAAAGAAGACGTATAAAGTACAGAGATCACAAACAAGATCCAACTCTAAAAACTCTCTTGTAGATCTGCCCCATGTCCTACTCTATACAAGAGGACTCAGTCTACAGCACCGTGGAAGGAGTCAAACATTTTGGAAGACAAATGCTGGAACCAGAAAAGGAAATGCTGAAGAAGCCACTTGTCCAAATTAAGAGGTAACTAAAACTCCTTCCATACACACAGAAGCTCTCCTTTCAGTTAGCAGTGACTGTAGTTTTGCACTCAAAAGCCATTTTCTTCCAGCACACCCAGATGTTACTGCTCATCTCACAGGACTGAGAATCCCCAGGTCCTGACATGACTCACACAATCCATGGGAAAGGTTACACGTTTAGATTTATAGCAGCCAGAGGAGAATCACCTACAGTAACAAACAGCAAGCAGTAAAGAAAGGATTATAGCTGATTTCCTCCCAGATTGAAGGGCTTGACTTGCAAAGACTGGGATTCACAACCTGACATACATGCCTGAACATGGGTCTTTCTGTTGCTTCTGAAGTATAAATAATCAGGGTCCCATTTTTTCCCAAAAATATTGGCAAAAGATAGTAAGCTGGTTATTGTTCCCATATTTTATGCAACAATACAGTGCTCTAATGGCTTGCCAGAAAGTGGGAGACAGGCAACAGCAGTACTGCCATATAAAAGATGAACAAGAATTCATCCCTGGTCCTAAGTGCAAGCAGCACCAAGCAGTTCCCACTTTCCATGCTAGAGCTAAGAACCCTTCTTTGGTTGATCTGTGCAAAAGCCCAGAGGCGGGATGGTCCTGGACAGAGCTGGGCTAAGCTAAGAATTAGGCAGCTGCCTAGGGCTATAGCTAATTTTCTGGCCTTTGCTGAATTTGCATTTCAAATGCACCAAAGAGTACTATGTCCTCTTCAGTGTGATGCATTCAAACTCACTCCAAAAGAAAGTTCTGCACTAGCTTAGGTCCCTGGCCCCCATTCCGGGAACTGTTACATATCTAAAATTAAGAGTCACTTAAATTTAAGAACAACAGACTCAAGCACTGCAGGGAGTAATATCTAGTCTATGGCTCTCCTAGTGTTTTGCCCATTTCTCTAAGTTTTAAAGTAAGAAAAACTATTATTGCCTAAGCATTCTCTCCTCTTTCTTCTGCTGCAGCTCCAATCACTTTCTCATCGGGGAACAGCTAAAGAGGATCATGGCAGGGCACCAACATTTTTGCCTCCACATCTTTCTAATCTGGGCCACTCATGGTGATGGGATGAGGGGAAGCAGTATGAGGAACAGCTGAGGTCACCTGGCTTGTTCAGCCTGGAGGACAGAAGACCAAGAGGAGACCTCATTGCAATCTGTAGCTTCCTCATGAGGGGAGGGGCAGGAACTGATCTCTTCTCTGTGGTGACCAGAGCAGCATGAAGCTGTGTCAGGGGAGATCTAAGAAAAGGTTCTTTACCTACAGGGTGGTTGGATACTGGAACAGGCTCTCCAGGGAAGTGGTCACAGCACCAAGCCTGACAGAATTCAGGAAGTGTTTGGACAACCCTCTCAAGCACATGGTATGATTCTTGAGGTGTTCTGTGCAGGGCCAGGAGTTGGACCTCAATGATCCTTGTGGGTCCCTTCCAACTCAGGATATTCTATGATTCTATGAAAATGTCTCCAAGTTGATGAAAACACCCTAGGAGCTCACTGCCTCCTGCAAAAGCTAGGAAGAATTTTAACATTCTAAAAAGAGGAGGTTGCCTTACATATTCTTAGGAAATTAGTGACAGTTTATTTTCTCTCCATTCCCCAGTCAACATGCAATGATACCAGAATATATGATTAATTAGCTCCTAGGTGAAATCACCTCAGCTCAAGTTGTAAACACTCTTTCGTGCATACACAGTCTTCCAAAACACAGTAGGGACAAGATGCCAAAACAACAAGATGTCAGACTTTTTCAATATGTTGGAATGATGATATCAACTACAGGACAGAATCTCAATTACTCAGTCTATTGGCACATAAGCTGAAAAGCTTTAGTTGATTTCCTGCACTCCCTTAAAAAAAAACAAATCACAACTGAGTTTGGTCTAGGTGAAAAATGGAAAATCTATCTCTTCAGGTGGTATTTATCTCAGTCCCTAGCATGCTAACCCTGGACCAAAAATCCCACAGGTATTCCAGCCATCAGTGGACTCTACAAACTTCCACGAAAAATGGGCTGGGAGGGAACCATATGTAAGATGTGGTGAGAGCTGAGCCCACAAAATCCCTAGGATACAGTCAGGGTATTCATCTTTTAATAGGTTTGTTGCTGCCTGGTGACAGATGTTGCCTCCAGCCTGCATCTGTCCAGAAAGCAAAAATATTAGCAGTGTTTAACAGAACTTCAAGCAATAATAAACCAAGACAGGAGAGTCCATTTTCCTAGCTAAATGAGCACAGGAAGGATTAGCCCACTAATCTTATCACACACTTCCACCTGGACTGCATTTTCTTGTCTCAATTTTTTTCTTCTGTACTTGTTTAAAAACTCATGTTTGGTTAGTCCATTTCCACTGCATTTCCAAACTCTTCGAACAGATATCTCTTTCCAGACAGGCTCTTTCCAGTGTTTCACCAGCTGGCAAGGAACTGATAACAGTCTTCTTAGTAAAATGGTGGCATTAAATCAGCAAGACTCATAATTTAAGAGCACGTATCCCACATTATTTGACTATGTGGTAAATTATGGAATAGCCTATATACTCCAATCCATCTCACAAGCTACTACCACACTACTGCAGACAAGGGCTATACACCCAGGAGTTTGTGATGGAGACTTTGTAGCCTGTATAAGGCTTGCTTAGGCAAGCAGTGAAGATATGCTCCTGCTTTCTTGTTTCCCACCCAGAAAACAGTAATCTTAGATATCACAGTCTTTGGGGAAAACAGTGAGAGACGGTGCCCAAGGTACACAAAGAGGTATGGCTACTGAAACAAGACAAGCACTAAATAAGCCAGAACCCAAAAGGTAAGGGGGACATCTCATTCACGGGGCAGACAACATACAGAGAAAGCAGGTCTTTTAAGAGCCCTGCAACATGGGTCAGAAATTGGCAGCACATAAAGATCACGACTCAATAACAGGACTCTGAAGAGACTCTGGGAAAAAAAGGAGATATGAAAACAGCCTCAATACATGCAATGAGCTCTTTCTCCTGCATCTGGAATAGAAAGGTGTGAATTGCACCTCTGGTAATATGGAAATTCGAACATGCACAGTAACTGCAGTGCACTCAACTTGATGTTCTCTTCTTTAGACCTACACTTTAAGACAGAAACAATATCAATATCTATATCTGCTTTTTACAGTAACTGAGAAGGAAGGGCTCTTCAGGTGTGCAGGCTTATTTTTTCCACTCAGTCCACCGTGGCCTGAATAGAAAGGTAGCATCTCTAGCTCCGAGCCCCTGAGATGCAGAGGAGGCAGCCAGAGGCTGGAAAAGCACTTTGGCAGGGCACCCCTGCATGAACAACACCCTGTGCTTTTACTCTCCCCCCACATCTCTTACTCACTGTTCTTAATATGGAATAGTAGACTTGATGGACCTTTGTTCTGACACACTGTGGATGATTTTATTCTAGAATCTCAGAAAGAAGGCTTCTCAAACATGCAGTCTTACTGTGCACTTGGCATGTTTGACTTGTCTATTTGAAAGCTAGTAATTATCACACCAACTATCCCTCTTCTCCTCTCCACCTCCCACAAGACTATTCCCTAATCCTACTATTCATTCCTATATGCTAAAAAGACACTGCTGTTTAAATTATTTTCAACACTGGTAATATCTGAAGATAAACAAGTTGCATCTCAACTACAAAGTAGAAAAAAGTTTTATTCTACTCACCATTTTTCTGGTAAAATAACACATTAAGAAAAAAGGAAATGAATACA